TCAGCGTGGCCCTGCTCTTCTCCATCCTGCTGTGCCCCCGGGCAGACGCTTGGCCTGGCAGACGATGCTCTCTGTATCTCGGACGGAGTTTGATTTGTCAGCACGACCCCGGCTCCGGGGCAGGATTCCCTCCTCTTGGTGAGCAGGAGATCCTTTGGGTTTGGATCTCTGGGATTTTCCTCCTTGGCTAGGGGTCAGCGGTGGGCTGGGGGATTTGGGACCCCCTTGTCTCCTTCCTGCCCTATAAGGCCCAGTCCTGAGCTCCCCTTGCCACGGACCCCGTGGACGTGGACACAGGGGGTGGTTCCATCATCGTGGTGAGTTCTGGAAATGGAAGGGCACTCACTGGGGGAACTGGGAACCAGTTTGTGCACCCTAATCCTTAGTGGGTTAGGGACACCTCACTGGGATTAGGGACACCTCACTGGGTTCTGGGGACACCTCACTGGGGAAACTGGGAACCAGTTTGTGGACCCCAATCCTTACTGGGGTGGGGACACCTCACTGGGATTGGGGACATCTCACTGGGTTCTGGGGACACAGCACTGGGACTGGGGACACCTCACTGTGGGAACGGGGAACCAGTTTGTGCACACCATCCCTTACTGGGGCTGGGCACACCCCGCTGATGTGTCCCTGTCTCTCCACAGGGGGAAGCCACAGCCAGGAAGAGCAAGGTGAATACTGGGAATTCTGGGCCCAGACCTCCTCCCTCAGGGCTCCCTCCAGTGCCCCCCAGTGCTCCTCAGTAAATCCCAGTGCTTCCCAGAGAGGCACCCCATTGTATTCCCACCCACCCCAGTGCACCCCAGTTGTTCCCAGAGAGGACACCATTGCAATCCCAGTGCACCCCAGTACAACCCAAAGAGGGCCCCACTGCAATCCGAGTTATCCCAGTTACCCCAGTAACCCCACAGTGTCTCATTCCCCATCCATTTCCCACCCTCTTTCCCCCTTGCCCTTTCCCATTCCCACGTATGGGGTGTCCCCAAATCACTTTCTCATCCCTTCTCTCCCAATGCCCCGCCCAAATCCCTCAGGTTTTGTTCCCTGTCCCATTTTCTCCTGCCACGTCCCACCCCATGTTTCAGGCTGTGTCCCTCCCATTTGAATTCCTTCTTCTTTCTTCTTCCTCCTCATCCTCCTTCTCCCCCACTCCCCACCTCCAGCCCCAGCCCTGCCCCTGTCCCAATCCCGTGGGGTTCCCAATTCCCCCATTTCACCATCATTGAGGACCCCCCTTCACCCCGACCCTCCCATCCCTAACTGGGATTGAGGACAGCTCACTGGGACTGGGGACACCTCACTGGGACTGGGAACACCTCACTGTGACTGGGAACACCTCACTGGGATTGGGGATACCTCACTGGGGTGGGGACAGCTCACTGGGATTGGGGACACCTCACTGGCACTGGGGACACCTCAGTGGGACTGGGGACACCTTACTGGGATTGGGGACACCTCGCTGGGTTTGGGGACAGCTCACTGTCATTGGGGACACCTCGCTGGCTCAGGTGACACCCCAATGACGTCCCTTGGGCTCTCTGCAGGGAGCAGTGAGAGCCTTTCCAGTGAAGAGGTCTGAGGTGAGGACCCGGAGCTCTGTGGGGCCCAGACCCTCCCCTGGCACGGCCACGGCCCTTGGGGTCACCCCAGGGTGCCCCAGTGCCCCCCAGTGTCCCCCAGCACTGCCCTACCCCCACCTTTGTCCCCAGCCCGTGGTGGCTGCCCCTCGGGATCCTGTGGTGAGCAATCTCAGGGGGTCTGCAGCCCCCCAAAGGCTCCTGGGGGGCTTTGGGGGACCCTGCAGCCCCCTGGGGTGGGCAGAGCCCGGGGCCAGCAGAGGGACACCGAGGGGGCTGTCCCTGCTCCGTGTGCGGGGGACAATGGCCAGAGCTGTCCCCAGAGCTGTCCCCAGGGCTGTCTTTGTGCCTGGGGGGCTCTGAGGGCCGGGAGGGGCTCGGGGAAGGTTTGGGGCATCCCGGGGGGAGATCTGGGGTTCACCTGGATCTGAGGTGAGCCAGGCCCCAATTCCCTGCTCCTGCCGGGGAGGGGAGGGGACAAGGCCCCTCTGCTGTCCCCGGGGGCACGGGGGGGTCACGCTTTGGCCTCTGGCTTTTAGGAT